TGTTGATGTTGGTGATAATGATGCTGATGATGATCATGATGGCGATGGTGGTGTTGATGGTGGTGATGATGATGCACCTGATGATGCTGACTGTGCTTGTTGCGATTATTGTGGTGCGTTATATCAAAGCCATCGCACTATTCAAGCCCTTTATTTTCTCATACGGTGCGTTATATCAAAACCATCGCATGATACACACACACACACACGTACGCAGAGCATACACAACATTCACACACAACACGCGCACACTCGGTTTTGCCAACTCCACGGGTGGGGGGCCGGGACGGGTCGGGTGTTCATTGGACAATGTGAAAATCAGTTTGCCATGATATCAAGCTTCATGTCAGAACTCGCTACCATTGGGGTCACTGCATTTACGTCTTACTTTTACCTTCTTTCGCACTGGCTTGTGCTGTGGTGCAGGTCAACGGCATCGACTTTCACTGCACGCAGCAGGTGATGGCGTCCGCATCGGACGACAAGTCGTGCCTGATCTGGGATTTCGCGGAGGCGATCCAGCTGCGGACTTTGGACAAGCACACCGAGGTCGCGGGTGGGGTGGGGTTGGGGTTGGGAGCGGGTGACGATCGAGGGAACACTGGCCTGCGCCTCTAGTTCGATCCTTCTCTTACTGCTCCCTCCTCTCACCATCTCCGCCGCCGATTGCTCGGTACTTCCTCGCAGCCTAGTAGTCATGGCCCATGACCTTGTTCTGTCCCTCCAGAAACCAGGCCCCGTGCAACGTACAGTCTTTGTGCTTCAGGTTGGTTTCCGGGCAACCGGAAGACCACACCGCACCAAGTCGTGGATGCACCCTGCAGGTTCAGCCGGCGCTTTTGTGAGAGATCCGCCGCAGCTGCACATCGGGTGCGCAGGAGGGCTCGTCGGCGTTGACTTTCGCAGTCGTGGCTTCCCCGGTCCTCACGGCTGGGCTGCCGCCCACCACGATCGGCGAGCAGTCGACCAACCTGACGCTTGAGGATCTCAGGTCGCCTCGGGCCACCCAGCGGGTTCCCAGGCTGGGAACGAACATCATCCTGGCATCCCTGGAACGGAGGATCCAGCATGCGCATAATACATACATCTCTCCCTCTAGACATCTATATATATATATGTTTATGTATATATTTATATATGTGTATGTACTGATATACATACATTTGCATACACATGATTGTGTGTACATATACGGCTACAGGTCATACATACATATATATATATTTATATATATAGATATATGCGTACATATATATACATATATGCACACAGAAACATATGTTTGTACACATGTATACATATTTACATGTACGTCCATATATATATATATATATATATAGATGTATAATGGCCTTCGGTCCATCCCGCCAACGTGCCTGGGTTATGGGTCAGAGTCCTCAGGGTTGCTTCTTGGGGTCTCTTCGGAGCGCTCTCGGGTGCCTCTTGGGGGCATTTCTGGGGCCTCTTGGGAGCCTCTTTGGGGCCTCTTGGGGCTTCCTGGGAGCCTATTGTGGGCCTCTTGCGGGCTCTTGGCGGCCTCTTAGGGGCATCTCGGGGCCTCCTGAAAGCTTGAAATGTCCATTCGGGGGGCCCGTCGGGGTCCCCTCTTGAAGCCGTCTTGGGGGCCTCTTGGGCCGTCTTGGGCGCCTCTTGGCCTGTTTGGGGATCCTTTTGGGTCGTTTCGGGGCTCTCTTGGAGGCCTCTTCGGCCGTCTTGGGGCCAACTTGGGGGCCTCTTGGGCTGTCCTGGAGCGTCGGGAAGCCGAAAAGGCGAGACCGCCCTAATCCGTGAACACCTCTTTTGGGAAAATCTATGAATTTTGCCTCTCGGGGTCACCTCGGTAGGCCTCTTGGAGGCCTCTTCGGGCGTCTTGGGGGCATCTTGAGCCATCTTGAAACCATATTGGGTGCCTTGGCGCGATTTTTCGGCGACATCGATCCCTCGTGGGCCCCCTTGGGGGCCTCTTGGGGCCCCCTTGGCCGTCTTTGGGCCCTCTTGGGCCCAAACACGGCCAAGGGCGGAACGTGTGGCTCTTCTTCTCCGACTGCGGCTCCAGCACCCGCTCCCATCTGTCCGACCCGGCTGCCATTTCCCGACCCTGGGTTCTGAGCGGCCAGCCTATTCCGGCGCCCCGGCGCCCTCCCGCCGCACCCTCGCAGGTGCCTCGACGCGGGCTCTTGTCTTGTCTTGTCTTGTTTTTGGGCCCTCTCCTCCTCCTCCTCCTCCTCCCCCTCCTCCTCCTCTTCCTTCTCCTCCTCCTCCTCCTCCTCCTCCTCCTCCTCCTTGGGCCCGAGCGAAGTCACGCGACAAGACGCGACGGGCCCCAGGGGCCACGCGCCGCGCCCCGGCCGAGTTGGCACTTTTGTGGGGGCCGGGCCCCTTCACGGAGTCCTCGGGATTGGCGGCGGAGGCTCTCCAGGCGTGGCGATTTGAGGCTCCAGGGGATCCAGCAAGGGACTTGCTCACACTCAGATTCGTGCCTCAAGGGCACGGTGGCGGATACACATATATATATACATATATATGTATATGTATATGTATATGTATATGTATATGTATATGTATATGTATATGTATATGTATATGTATATGTTTATGTTTATGTTTATGTTTATGTATATGTATATGTATATGTATATGTATATATATATACACATACATACACATGCACACACGTAGGTTGAAGGATTAATTCTTCACGCCTCACGTGTCCCCACCAGCCCATCCAGAAACCCAGCCCATGAGAGCTGACGGGAAAAGGGACGACGAGACGCGTATAGTGAAACAGAGCGGGCAAGAAGGATGAACAGAGAGATATCTGGGAGCAAGGGGGTGGCCTTGGAGGGCCTCTTCGGGCCATTCCTGGGGCCCGCGGGGGGACGAGGGGACGAGGGGAGGAGGAGGAGGAGGAGGAGGAGGAGGAGGAGGAGGAAGAGGAGGAGGAGGAGGAGGAGGAGGAGGAGGCACATCGCCTCTTGGGGCTGGGCCCTCTTGGGGCTCCCTTGGGGCCCTCTCAGAGCTCTCTTGGGGCCCTTTTGAGGGCCCTGTGAGGCCTCTTGGGGCCATCTTGTATGTCGTCGAAGGGGGGTCCCCGATTGCCCTTCCCCCCCGCTTGGGCCATCAACATCGCGCTTGCTGCCGAGTGGTTGTCCCGCGGTTGTCCCGTGGTTTGTCCCGTGGGTTGTCCCGTGGGTTTTCCCATGGGTTGTCTTGTGGTTCGTGGGCTGTCCCGCTGTTGTCCCGTGGGTTGTCCCGTGGGTTGTCCCGTGTTTTGCTTTGTGTTCGTCGCGTCGGGGAAACCACATCGAAGTGCATTTTCAATTGCAATCGGAAGGTGCATCGACATTTGTTTCGAAATGCAAATACGCTTGCAATCACCTTGCAAGTCGACATGTATGTATGAAACTACATGAAGAGCACATCGAACATCCTATCGCATTGCAGTTCCATACATACCGACATGCCCAACCGACATGCACATCGAATTGCGAATCAACGCGCGCATCCAACTTCATCTGACATCTGCGTCGGCCTGCCTGAATGGCGGCGCGTCCTCTCATGGGCAGAAGTAAGTCACCTCGGCACTGCAGGCACACGGGGCTAACATCTGTGTGCATATACCCTCCGTATCATTGGCATAGAGGTCGATGGGTAGCGAGTAATACAGAAAAGTAATGCAATCGGTAGATGGGTCGTCATGGTGACAGATCGGTAGTGCTATCAATGTGCAGGCAGTGAGGTCCATACATATACATGTATATATATATATATAGAGATGATCGGCGGGTTGGTCGTGAGATCCCTGGGTAGCCCCGACGTCACATGTACATATACATGCGCACACACATATGTATGCACCTAAGTATGTGTATTGCGAATCTACCTGGCTGCCAATCACAAACCGACAGCTGCGCCCGTCCCTCCAACCTCCTCATCACCCGAAGGGTGGTTTTTGATGTGCGCATCTTTTGACAGTTGCCCTCTTTCAAAGTTGCACAGAGGCATGACACCACATGCGCACGTATTTCTACACACTCATACATAGAGAGAGAGAGAGGGAGAGAGAGAGAGAGAGAGAGAGAAGGAGAGAGAGAGAGAGAGGGAGACAGAGAGAGAACGAGAGAGAGAGAGAGAGATAAACACATACATGTATAAGGATAAGGAGAGGGGGCGACAGAAAAGAGCGAGAAAGAGAGAGAGAGAGACAAAGAGAGAGGATGATATATATATATATACAGAGAGAGAGATATAATGAACAAGTTAGAAAGAGAGAGAGAGAGAGAGAATAAGAAGTGATACACATATATATGGCAATGCGTGCATGTGAATCTTTTCTGAGAGTGCCTTGAGGACAGGGGGCCGCGCGTCACAGCACGCCCGCTACCGATTGTGCTCAAGCTGACACCGGCGCGGACGCGCCGGGAGACGCATCCCCCGCTTCCCATGGCCTGGCTGTTTGGCCAGCGGTACCTGGACTGGCTCGTCGGCACCGTCTCGCAGACGGTCGTGAGCTGGTCGGCCCGCTGCCCGGCGTGCCCCGCCTGCCCGCAGCCGCCGGCGTGCCCAGCCTGCCCAGCGGCGGCGCCGATCCACTTCCACCCGCCGGCCGCCTGTCCGGCGGCTCCCGAGGCGCCGGCGCCCGCGCCCGCGCCCCAGCCGGTCGCCCAGGAACCTGAGGGCCTCTCCTGGACGGGCGGGTGGCTGACCTGCTTCCTGGTCGCCCTCAACCTGTTGGTCTTCAGCTTCCACGGGGTGAGGCTGGTCGGCTCGGCCGTGGTGAGGCTGCGGCCGGCTCCGACGCCCGCCGCCCTGAAGGATGGCGCAGGAGCAGGCGCCGCCGGGGGTGCGCCGTTGGGCGTGGGCACAGTACGCCGGCGCGCCGCTGTGGCATCAGCGGCGCGTGTGGGGCCGGGTGATTCAGGATCCGACTGATGCCCGCTGGTCCCCCCTGCGGGTGCTGATCTCGACGCCGGATGGCGATGTATACGAGGAGCTGTACGACATGTCGGATGGGACTTTGGCTGCGGTTCGCTTCGAGGACGACCGTCGCACCCGGCCAGCTGGCCTGGAGGTTGGGAACCTCTACCGCTTCCGGCGCGCGCTGACGGCGGCCGAGGAGGTGGCCATCAGGAACGAGGTGGACGCCTACGCCCGCGACGTGTTCCTCGACGCGGAGCGCGCGGCCGGGCGGCCCGGGGTGGTGCCTCCGGCGGGCGCTGCCGTCTACTTCACGTTCGCGGCCGCGGCTGGTGGCGCTGCCGCGCCTGGGCCCGCCCCCGCCGCCCCTGCCGCCGGGGGAGGGGCAGCTGTGGCCGCCGCGCTGGCTGTGGTGCCGGCTGGCCCCGCCGCGCCCGCGGCTGGACCGCCTGCTGGTGCCGCCCCAGTTGCGGCAGCAGCCGCACCGCTCGCCGTTGCTGGAGCTCCCGCAGGCCCCTTGGGGCCGAATGCCGTGCCTGGGGCTGACGGACAGTGGGTCTACGTCGAGACCACGACGACGGCCCGGCGCGGGGACCCTGTCACGATGGACGGGACGGAGCTCGTCCGGGGGGCTATCGGCCTGAAGCAGGACGCTGGCGGGAGCTGGTCGGCCATCCGGCTGACCACGACCTCGCAGGCCGCCTACCGAGGCGCCGAGGCCCTCGCTGATGCCCGCCTCCAGCCTGTGGCCCTGCTTAGTGACGGCTCGCGGCAGCGCGTGCAGTTCCACGAGAGTGTCGACAGGCTCCGCGAGGAGCCCTTCCCCGACTGGCCGCTGGACGGCCCAAGGACCACGCTATGGTGCCTCCGCTTCTTGGACAGGAAGCGCGGAGGGGCCATCGAGCACTTCCACCAGTTCGTGTCCTACTACCGGCTGTCCCGCGATGACTTCGGGGTGACGCACTACGAGTCCATCATGCGGATGGTCGACTACCTGATGACGTGGGACCTCCTCGACTTGCCCAACGTGGTGGGCGTCGAGGTCATGCTGCGGCAGGCGCAGCTGTACGAGTACATGTACGCCATGGAGTACGAGGCGCGCGACTCGGGCGCCTCAACTGCTGGTCCGACCGAAGGCGAGCCCAAGGCGAAGGCGAAGGGCAAGCCCAAGAGCCGGGGCGGCGGTGGCTTCTTGAAGTTCGGTTTCGTGGATGAGGTGGGAGTCTTCACGGGCACGGCCCGCGAGGACGGCCGCATGATGGTGGCTCCGGCACTACTGGAGCACGTGGCCAAACAAGTGGAGCGCGACGCTGGAATCCTTAAGCAGATCAGGAAGGCTAAGGAAGAGCGCCGCGCTCTGGCTCCATGATGGAGCGGGGCCTGGAGGCGGACTCCCCGACCGCCTTCAGCGACTCTCGAGGGGGCTTCGCGGATATGGCCTCCCGCGCTGCAGATGTACATGGGGCCCAGCCAGCTCGTCAGCGACGGCATCGGGATCTCTTTCCGCTCCCTGTGCCCGCCGGTGGTGAGCGTGATTTTGTGGCTACTGACCTGTCTCGCACAACTAAGAGGCGACTCCACAGGACCAGTCACCGCCGCGAGATGGTCGTCGACGCCATCCGCGCCATGAATGAGATGTACACTGGTTCGAGCTGTCCGCGGCCCACTGGCCTCGCTGGCCCTACGACCGCCCAGCAGGAGGCTCTGGCGGTGATCCAGGAGGCCGTCGACGCCTTCGGAGTGCCCCCGCCCGACCTCACTCCCGCAGGAGCCCTTGAGGAGCTCCGCGTCGCGCAGTCATGCGACCAGGAGTCTGCCGTGATTGCGCCGGTGACCTTCGACCGCGTCGATCTGATCTCCCTGCCGAGCGTGGGCTCCGAACCGAAGTCCTTGTCTGCACTCATCGGGGACGACAGCATGAGTATTGGTCATCGCCTTCAAGAACTACTTTTGCCCCGTGAGCGGGGGCTTGCCCGGGTCGCGGAGCGCGCTCCGAAGAGGGCGTATTCGGATCCCAACTTGAGGAACCCTCGCTTATATAAGAAAGTATTGCACCGTCTTGTGTCATCGCACCTCGTTGAGTTTCATACCGAAGCGTTGAGCTCAGTGGGAATGTTCTTCGTCTATAAGAAATCAGGGGCCCTGAGGCTCATGCTGGATGGCCGGATCCCGTCCCAGTTGTTCGACGAGCCCCCCAAAGTGAAGCTGGCAACTGGGGCCGCGTTTTCTCAGCTCAGGGTTGACAGTCGGGAGCCTGTGTGTGTCGCTGGTGTGGACATCGCGGATGCCTTCTATACCATGTTGCTCCCACCTTGGCTTCGTCGGTACTTCGGACTCCCTAAGATCAGGGCTGGTGAACTGGGGATCTCGGTCGATGCGAATGGGAGGCCCGTGGCGCCTACGCAGTGGGTACATCCGTGCTTCAGGTGTCCTCCGATGGGATTCAGTCTCAGTCTTTGGTTGTGCCAGTCAGTGAACGAGATTGTCTCGCGGCGTGCTGGCCTCGTCAGGCCGGAGCGGGTCCTGGTGGATCGCCTGCCTGCCCCTGTCGTCGACTCGGGCGTTGTTCATACCGAATACGTCGACAACTTCGTTGCGCTGTCGCTATCGGAGGCCTCTGCTATTGCTGCTGCCCGTCAGGTCGATCATCATATGCGTGCTGTGGGACTGCCTACTCACGGGGTGGAGAGCGGAGTGGGCGGGGAGACTCTTGGCTGGTCCTTCGACTCGAACTCGCCCGTGATCTCGCTCAACCCCAGGCTTAGGTGGAAGCTGTACCTTGGGATTCAGGAGGTCCTCCGACGTGGGTTCTGTTCTGGAAAGGAGATGGTGAGGATCGTCTCGCACATCACGTCCAGGGTGCTCATTAGGAGGGAGCTCCTCTCGTGCCTGGGGGCCGTCTACAAGTTTGGGGAGGTATACCACAATCGCACCGCTAAGCTCTGGCCCGTCGTCCGTCGTGAACTACGCTGGGCTCGGGCTCTCCTCATCTTCTGCAGCAGGGACCTCGGGTTGCCCTTCGACACCACCCTCACGTGCCTGGATGCGTCGTCTTGGGGTTTTGGAGTTACCCAGCGGGAGGTCTCTGAGGACTCGGTCAAGCGTCTGGCCCGGTACAACGAGCGTTGGAGGTTCTCTCGAGAAGCTGAGCGCCAACGCCTTGGGCCCCGAGCCGCTGCTGTCCCTGGTCAAGGCTCCTCAGGGGCCGTCCCGGACGGGCCCGAAGTCTCCGACGTGGACCCTAGCTTCGAGGAGGTCCCGCCCGACATCTGGAGGGACCACTGGCACCCGGTCCTCTCGGTGCCCTGGCGGCGCCCAGCCCCTCAGGTCATCCTGGAGGCCAGGTCCGGCGTGATGGCGCTTAAGCACAAGCTTCGCTCCAAGAGGTCCTTTCGGAAGGCCCACGTCATGCTGAACGATGCCATGGCCCCCATCTTGGCTCTGGCAAAGGGGCGGTCTTCGGTGCCCGCCCTCCTCGCCGTCTGCCGGCAGGTGGCATGTCTGCTGCTGGCCTCAGGCTCGGCGGCGTACTGGAGGTGGCTGCCGTCCGAGTTCAACTCTGCCGACCCAGCATCACGGAACCGGCCTGGTGCTAGGCCCGAGGCGTGGTATGCTCCAGCGGTCGTCGCCCCAGGGAGCGTCTGCTGCCAGCCCGTCGGGCGCCCTTCGCAGGCGGCCCGCGGCGGCTCCAGCAGCCCCAGCGCCCACCCACCTTGGGCGCCGGAGCCGCTCCCAGAGCGCAGCTGCGCTGTCCTGGGGGGACCAGGCGGACCGCCGAGTTGCCCGGAGGCGCGCCTTCCCCGCCGCCAGCACGGCGGCGACCTCGGGCTCGCTGACCTTCCTGGAGACGCAGGCCGTGGGGGAGGCGACCCGCCGGGACTATGCCGACAGGGTCTCGAAGTTCACGAGGTGGGCGGCCTCGGTCCGGCTGCCGATCGGGGAGGTGCCCGAGCTGGACGTCGCCCTGGTGACCTTCTTCAACCAGCTGTTCTTCGACGGCTACCCGAGCGAGGAGGCGACGAAGTACATGGCGGCACTGGCTCATTGCCGCGCGGCGCCCGGCCGGCTGCAGGTGGCCTTCCCGAGGGCCGCTCGTGCTGCGAAGGGCTGGGCCCGGCTGGTACCGCCCCGCTCCCGGCTGCCGCTGCCCTGGCCGATTGCCTGCCTGATGATCGACTGGATGCTGGATGCAGGCGAGACGACAGCGGCGGCGGCGACGGCGGTCTGCTTCGCGCTGTACCTTCGGCCGGCAGAGCTGCTCAGCCTGACGCGCGAGCAGGTGATCCCGCCTGCCGAGGGCGCCCCTCCGGGGCGAACCTTCCTGAACTTCTGGTCGGTGGTCCTGCATCCGATGGAGTGCGCTCAGCCTTCGAAGACGGGAGTCTACGACGAGGGCCTCCTTCTGGACAGCCCGGAGTTCACCTGGCTGCCACCGCTGCTGCAGGCGCTGCGGGCCCGAGCCGCGCCAGGCGGCCGCGTCTTCGACATGAGCTACAACCAGTGGGCCCTGGTCTTCAGGCGTGCTGCGACAGCGCTGCACCTCGGCGTCCTGGGGCCGCCGACGCTCTACACCCTCCGACACGGGGGGGCCTCCCACGAATACCTCGCAAAGTTCAGAAGCCTCGACGAGATCAAAAAGAGGGGGAGATGGGTGTCGGACTCGTCCCTACGGCGCTACACCAAAGGGGGCCGCGTGGCAGAGCAGATGCGACGGCTTCCGATCTCCGAGCAGCGCCGCGCCACGCGCCTGGTCGGCACCATTGGCGGGCGCCTCTCCAAAATCTGGCTCGGTCTGTAGAGGACGCCGGCCAACCCGTGTTCCTGGAAGTGTTCAGCGGGTCAGGGCGCCTCTCTCTGGCGTGGCGGCGAGTCTCCCGCGGCCGCCTGGCCGCCTTTGAGCTGGACCTCAAGCATGACCCGGCCTCAGACCTTCTGCAGCGCCGAGTTCAGCAGCTTGTTCGCGGATGGCTTCGGTCAGGCCTTGTGGCAGCTGTGTGGTTGGGCACGCCTTGTCAGTCGATGTCGCTCGCGCGCAACCGACCGAATGGCCCCCCTCCGCTCAGGAGCAGCTCGCACCCTCAGGGCCTCCCTGGATTGTCGCCTAGTGATGCTCTGAAAGTTTTGCAAGGAAATAGGCTCTGTGCGTTCAGTTTTAGTCTTTTTGAGTTAGCGCTGTCCCTTGGGATCCCTGTTGGCCTGGAAAACCCGGGGTCCTCCTGGCTCTGGAAGCAGCCTGTGGCTGAGAGAGTCTCGAAACGGTCCGGGGTCCAGCGCTTAACCGTGGACTTCTGCGCTTTCGGCACTCCGTGGCGAAAACGCACTGCAATCCTTTATGCTAATGCTGACCTGTCATGTCTGCGTCCTTTCAGGTGCTGTGGTAGAGGTATTTGCTCGTTCTCAGGCAAGCCGCACATCGAACTCGCCGGTAAAGATAAGGCCGGTCGTTTTCTCACGGCTATCGCCGAACCGTACCCAAGTGACCTGTGTGTACATATTTCTCGTGCGTTTCTCAATGCACATCGGAACCATGTGTTTCGGGGGATGTTTTCTAAAGTGGCCCCTCGCCTTTAAGTCGAGTCTCCAGACATATGGTTTCGGAGTTCTCCGATTTTGTGGTGTTGTGCTGACTGCCGTCGGTCTCGAGGACTGGCGCCTGATTGCATCCTCTCGTCTAGAGCTCTGGGCACCAGTAAGCACACAGATCAAACCTTCGGTCTGGCCACTGAGGAAAATGGGCTCCTCGGAGGAACAGATGGCAATGCGTGCATGTGAATCTTTTCTGAGAGTGCCTTGAGGACAGGGGGCCGCGCGTCACAGCACGCCCGCTACCGATTGTGCTCAAGCTCCCCCCCGAGCCCACCCGCGGAACAAAATCTACGCGAGGTGTTGTGCTGACTGCCGTCGGTCTCGAGGACTGGCGCCTGATTGCATCCTCTCGTCTAGAGCTCTGGGCACCAGTAAGCACACAGATCAAACCTTCGGTCTGGCCACTGAGGAAAATGGGCTCCTCGGAGGAACATATATATATATATATATATATATATATAGAGAGAGAGAGAGAGAGAGAGAGAGAGAGAGAGAGAGAGAGAGAGACAACAAACAGAGAGACAGAGAGGGCTCGCAGACGACGCGCCCAGGCGGTGTACGGCTGCAAGTTCCTGGGCCAGGAGCCCCGCCCCCGCCCGGGGCGCCCCCGGGAGGCCCACGCGGGGCCGCCAAGGGCGCGGCGGGCCTGCGGGCACTCCCTGGGCGCTGCGGCGACCCGCAGGAGGCCGCGCGTCCGAGGCGGGAACCTCTCTGCAGGACCACCGCCTGGAGGATCCATTCCTCCTCCTCCTCCTCCTCCTCCTTCTCCTCCTCCTCATCCTCATACTTCTCCTCCTCTCCTCCTCCTCCTCCTCCTCCTCCTCCTCTCCTCCTCCTCCTCCTCCTCCTCCTTCTCCTCCTCCTCCTCTTCCAGGAGGTGGACGTGGACACATCCAGGGGGCCGCGGCAGGCAGCGGACGTGGACACATCCGGGCCCCCGGGGGCTGAAGCATAGCCACATCCACCGCCCGCTGGGGCACCAGGGCGTCGGTTCCCGGGCCGTGGATGTGGACGAATCCCCGCCTCGCAGCATGCGAACCCAGACCCGCTCGCGCTGTGAACATAGCACGGCGCGAGGTTTTTCGCTAGTCTCGGCCTCCGGCGGGGCCCTTCCTGGGCTTCGGGACGCTTAGGAACGACTCGGGAGGAAAAGCTGGTCCCCGGGAAGGAGTCCAGACTTCTGAGGGGCACGTCGCGAAAAGGAATCACGACGTCGGGGGTTTGGGAACCCAATCTCACCACCCAAGGATTTCTCAGGGGGGAGGTGGGGTTCCCTTCGCTCGGGACCTCCCGAGCGAAGCGAAGCCCACCTCCCCCCTCCGAAATCGTGGAGTGGCGGGGTAGGGAGGGAGAGGAGGGAGAGGAGGGAGAGGAGGGAGAGGAGGGAGAGGAGGGAGAGGAGGGAGAGGAGGGAGAGGAGGGCGAGGAGGGAGAGGAGGGAGAGGAGCGCGTGTGGCCTCCCAGGCCCCGAGAGCCGGCGCTCCAGGAAGGCATCTGAGCGGGCCGTGTCTCTGGCTCTCTTCGGCCCGCGGGGGGCCCTCGCTGGATCCGGCGCTCCCAGCACAAGCATCGGAGTGGGGTGCAGGCTTCCGGGGCCCACGTCTCGAGCGAAGTGGAGCAGCCGCCCTCCCCTCCCCTCCCCCCCCCTCCCTTCCCCCTCCCCTCCCCCTACCTCCCCCCCTCCCTCCCCTCCCCTCCCCCCGTCTGGGGAGGGGCTCAGACCTCCCGCGGCGGGCGCCGAAGGTAGACGCTGAAAGTACCTCTGGGGCGCCCACGGGGCGGGGGTCGAAGCGGCAAGGTGTGCGTTTGTGCAGGCCTTGAACTGCGGACGGAGCTCAGCGTCCTGGCGCGAGAGGGTCTGCGTTTGTGCAGGCCTTGAACTGCGGACGGAGCTCAGCGTCCTGGCGCGAGCGGCCGAAATGATGAGGCTAGTGCTGCTGATGATGCTGATGATGGTTATGCTGACGATGGTGATGATGATGCTGCTGATGATAATGGTGATGGTGGTGTTGATGATAATGGTGATGGTGATGATGATGATGCTGATGATGCTGATGCTGACGCTGATGCTCATGCTGATGCAGATGATGCTGATTCTAGTGATGATGTTTTTGATGATGATGCTGCTGCTGCTGATGATGCTGATGATGACGATGACGATGATGATGCTGGTGGTGATGATGATGCTGATGATGCTGCTGATGATGATGATGTTTATTAATGACATTAGTATTAGTTTTTAGTTTTATGTCAGTACATATGATTATGATTATTGTTATCATTGTATGTTTATTATATTTATGGTTATTCGTATTATTAGTATCCGTATTATTATGACTAGTAGTAGTAGTAGTAGTAGTAGTAGTAGTAGTAATCGTCGTCGTAGTAGTAGTAGTAGTAGTCGTAGTAGTAGTAGTAGTCGTAGTAGTAGTAGTAGTAGTAGTAGTAGTAGTAGTAGTAGTAGTAGTAGTAGTCGTAGTAGTAGTAGTAGTAGTATAGTAGTAGTAGTAGTAGAGTAGTAGTAGCAGCAGCAGCAGCAGCCAGTAGCGTAGTAGTAGTAGTAGTAGTAGTAGTAGTAGTAGTCGTATAGTAGTTAGCAGTAGTAGTAGTAGTAGTAGTAGTATAGTAAGTAGTAGTAGTAGTAGTAGTAGTAGTAGTAGTATAGTATAGTAGTAGTAGTAGTAGTAGTAGTAGTAGTAGTAGTAGTAGTAGTAATAGGTAGTAGTAGTATTAGTAGTAGTAGTAGTAGTAGTAGTAGTAGTAGTAGTAGTAGTAGTAGTAGTAGTAGTAGTAGTAGTAGTAGTATCATCGTTATGATTCTTACTACTATTTGTAGTTTGATCTTGATTTTGATTGTGATGCTGATTCTAGTTGCGTGGATTGCTTAGGAGGAGCATTCGCAGGACGCCAGGAATTGCGGTAGCCAGGCTGCCCAAAGAACGGAACGAGTCGGTCTGCAGACTCAGAGGGTTCGGCACCTTGTGCCACAGCCGTGCCGCGCCCCGCGCCCTGGCAGTCGGGCCAGGCGCCCCCCCCCTCTCAGACCTCACCCCCCTCGAGGTGGGATGGAGGATCGAGTTCAGGGTCCTTGGACATTTTCTTTGCTCCTCCCGTAGCCTCTGCGGGCCTCCCGGGGCTTCTCTTCGGAGGCCCCCCGCGCGGCCTGGCGGCCACGCCGTCGGGTCAGGGGAGCCACCGGGTTTCTGAGGCGTGGGCTGTTCTCCGAGGATCAGGGCCTTTTGGATGGTGCCCGAGTAGACGGGGTCGGAGGCTCGCGCCGCATCGCCGAGGCATCGCGGATGCGGCTCGATGCAGGGCCCGATTTGCTTCACGTCGACGTCGCCTTTGCATCGCCGACGTCGACGATGCGTCGCCGGTGCATCCCTGATGCATCGCCGATGCATCGGCGATGCGGCGCGATCCTTCGACCCCATCTACTCCGACTCCATCTAGGCGGCCTCTAGAGGATCGGGTCGGACGCGAGGGGGGGCCAGGGGGAGGGGAGGGGGGGCACGAAAACGGCTGCACGCAGCTGGTTTCGGCCTCGCCGCCAGGCGTCCTGCACACACTGGCGCCTCCGAGGCCAGGGCGGCGCCACGAGGATCAGCCACGGCAGCTGATTAGTGGACCCCCAGTTTACAACACTGCTCCTTCGCCCGACCTGAGAGGACGTCTCCAGCTCCTGTGGCCTCCAAGTGTCTCAAAGACGCGTCGGGTGGTCGGCCATCCAGAGAGGCCTTCGGGGTGTCGGCGCCCTCGGGTGGTCTGTCCTCTGGGGTTCTAGGACTCCTGAGCTTCCTCCTGGTCGAGAGGCGCCCGTGCGTCTCCACGGGCGCATGGGGGGCCCACAGTCGATAGAGCTCACCACCCACCAAACCACCCCAACCCAACCCGAAGACCTCAATTTGCCCTCCATTTCCAGTTGGGGGGGGTCTGGGGACATCGAAAAAACACATGTGGAACCCTTACCCCCCCCAACCCGAAATTCGGGTCTTCGGGTTGGGTTGGGGTGGTCTGGTAGGTAGTCAAGAGCGCCCATCTTGCCGAGCCGATTCGCGAAGTGCTCTTCTCCGATCGGCGACATCGCGAGAGGGTGCTGCGGCCTTTCTTTTCGAAGGCCTGCGCCCACCGGGGTCTGGTCCAAGCTGGTTTTCACGGCAGGATCTGCATGGCCTGCGAGCTCTCTGGCAGTTCCGCGGCCGCCTCCGCCTCCCGCCTCGCCCCTCCTTTTTTACCTTCGCCGTGCTGAGCTGCGGACGCGTCCTGCCGTCAGCTCGACCGCTGCTTTGACCCACGCCGCAGACCGCACGTTTTGCTGAGGGGGCTTCTGTCCACCTCCGGCCGGGGGGGGGGTGCTGGGGCCGCACGGCCTGTGAAGAGCAATGGGCCCGCAATGGGAGCAGCACGGCGAAGGCAGTCGACGCGCGCATCGTCGTGGGCGTGTGCCCCAACCACTGAGCGCGGGCGCTCCCGTGCGGAGGCAGCGCTGCCTCGGGGCACCGGACCGCGCGCGCATTGCATCGGGACGCAGACGGGTAAACATGATAGCACACAGTTCCGAAAACACAGCACGGAACACCGAACAGGTAGTAGAGGTGCAGGGTAGTATTCGGATCCCTCCACCTCCTCGGACCCCTCTTCCTTCCCACGTCAATCGGGCGCAGCTTCGCACTCTCGGCGTGCACAGGGCAGGGGCAGCCTTGCTGCTGAGCCTTGGCAGTGCGGCCTCTCGCTGCTGCAACGATGCAGCGTGTGCCTGCTGCAAGCGCGACGTCTCCTGGGTGCAGCCTGTATGTTTTGATTCTGCACATCGCTGGGTCGTCGCAGATACATCCTCTCGCCATGACCAGTGCAGCGTCTGGGCGCTTGGCGTGCGTTGGGTGCGCTGTGACGCTAGACCTCCCAGAAAGGGTCCGAACAAAGAGGGTCGTAGAGTCGCGCCGATGCACCGCCGACGTTGCCGATGCATCGCCAATGCATCGTCGATGCATCGGCGATGCGGCGCGATCCTCCGACACCATCCACTCCGACCCCATTCAGGAGGCCTCTAGTTTCGGGGGTCGTGGCTCCTCCAATGTTCTGCCGGATTGGACCGGCCCCAAGATCGGCGTCACCCCAACATACTAATGTTACGTGTGCGTCGCCCCGCCAGGGGCGACGCGCGCACCGAAAAACCTTATAGTATATGCGTCGTGGCGGGCGCGTTCTGGTCGTACCGCTCGGGAAACAATACATGATAATTCTTATGTGCTATATGTTCGGGTCGGACGCACGACTCCGAGGAGGAAACATAGTACTAGTATGACCTTGTGCGTCCCACCAAGAAGTAAGTCGCCAGATGGGTAGATCGCACCAGGTGCAGCACGCAAGCTGGCTGCTTCGAGCCAGGGAGCGCTCCGCAGCGCCATGGGAGTCCAGAGACCGGGTGGCGGAGTCGCTTCGGCAGGTGGTAACGAGTCGAGCCTGCTCGAGGCAAGCGCCGAGCACGAGATGTCTGGCTCGCAGATCGGCGGCGAGCGAGGGGGGGTAAGGGAGAATGAGAAGGCCTTCTCGGAAGGCTCGGAGGACCCCCGGACTTCCGAGAAGTTCCTTGAGCCTTCCCCGAAGACAAATCGTATTTCCCAGAAGGCGCGAGGGCTTCTGAGAAGTCCCGCCGCCTTCTGAGAAGGCCTTCTCCTTCTCACTTCCCCCCCTCGCCTTATGATGTTCCAACCTACTTTACCCTTGATCACCAGAAATAATTTCGAGCACCAAGAAAATACATACATTTGAGGGTTTCTACGTGTCGGGCCCTGGGAGGCGATCCTCGTTCGACACCGTTTCGATATTCTTCGGGCTGCTCGAAATTACTTTTGGGAGGCGGCCCTCAAGTACGATGGGAGCAACATGACCCTCCCTCGCCGCCGAGCAGAGCGTCGGCGCAGGGTGGCTGGGTGGCGCGGCGGACGCTGGCATTATCCCGGGGCTCTGCAGGAGCTCTGGCTTTCGGGCCGCGCTCCAGGTCTCGGCCCGGGGGGCCTGCTCGTGGCCGAGGCTCGCCGTGGCCAGAGACGGCCCCCTCCTTCCTGCTGTCCCGCGCTCCTCGCGGGAGAGCGCGCCGACTGCGCACGGCCCCCCCGGCCACCTGCCTGTCCTGCCTGCCCGCCCCGCAGGAGATGCAGTTCAACATCGCCACGTGCTGCTTCGACAGGAGCACCCGCATCTTCGACATGCGCGACAAGAGCGTTTCGGCGTGCCTCCAGCTGCACAACGACGACGTCATCGGCGGGGCGGGGACGCGCTACATAGAGCCCAGGGTCTCCTCGGGTTCTCGGCTCGAAGATCGAGGCACCAGGTTTTGAAATGGTTGGGGGCCTCTACGTGGCTGTTCGTGGCCACGGCTGGAACCGCCTTGGAATCACGGCCAGAAAGCACCCCTCTGGACAGGCCCAGAAGTCGATGTCTGACCCTGGGTCCCAGACCTCCTCGCGTCATCAGACATGTTAGCGGAATGTGTTTGGCAGCTGAAAGCACCCCTCTGGACAGGCCCAGAAGTCGATGTCTGACCCTGGGTCCCAGACCTCCTCGCGTCATCAGACATGTTAGCGGAATGTGTTTGGCAGCTGTCCCTCCGCGGCCACCTCGTCTGTCCTCTCCCCGCTCTTGCACGCTGGCCAATTCGTTTCTCGATGCCCCTGTTTAGCTCTATCGCTGGTGCAGCCAACTCTGCCTCGCCGCCGACGAAGAAGAAGTGTTTGCCAGCTGTCGACTTCTGGTCAGCATTTCATATTGGCGATCGACTTCTGGGGGCCCCTGTGGGGCCCTGGGGCCGTTCACCAGCCGGCGCTCGGGACGAGGAGCCGGTCACGGGAGGTCCGGGGCAGACAAGGGCTCAGGTTCTCGCCGGGGGCCCCCTATCGTGCAGAGCTCGCAGCGTCGGGGGGAGGTCTGGGGATCGGGCGACGGCCCTCTTGGGCCGAGAAGGGCCGAGCTTCCTTGGCAGCGGCCCGTCGACCCTGCTCGTCGCTAGGCACGGCGAGAGGCGTGAACGAGCGGCGGCTCGCCCCCCCCCTCCCCCCGCGCCCCACCCCGGGAGGGGGAGGATGAGGAGGGAAGGGGGGTGAGGAGGAGGAGGAGGAGGAGGAGGAGGAGGAGGAGGAGGAGGAGGAGAGGAGGAGGAGGAGGAGGAGGAGGAGGAGGAGGAGGAGGAGGAGGAGGAGGAGGAGGAGGAGGAGGAGGAGGAGGAGGAGGAGGGATGGAGGAGGAGGGAGGAGGAGGAGGAGGAGGAGGAGGAGGAGGAGGAGGGTGGCAGGCCTTGGCGCGCCCCGCGCGCCAGGCCCGCGTGCCGCCTCGCCGGGGCACCGCCGCTAGAACGCAAGAACGCGCGAGTGCTTGGAGGGCAGGGCCCGTCTAAACCGCGGGTTAGGCGCCGGGCGACCACCTCGCGGGGCCCAGCCGGGCCGGTGCTGGGCCTAGGGTCGGCGAGGTGGGCAGTCGACTTCCCAGACCCCTTCTCGTGCTGTAAAAAATCATCACGACGGGAGGTTTATCGCTATTTTCGAGCTTCCGGGGCCCTTCCCGGGCCTCGGGACCGTCAAAAAGCGCCTCAGGATGAAAAATAGTTCCCCCGAAAGGGGTCCAGACTTCTGAAGGGGCACGTCATGAAAAAATCATGTCGTCGGGGGTCTCGGTTGGGGGATGACCGGCAATGGAGCTCGCTCAAGGGTGGGCGCCGATTCTGGGCCAGGAGCCTGCTGCAGTCGTGCTCGGCCCCAGTCGGGGGCTCCAGGCAGCTTGTTGATGTCGCAGAGGCAGGGGGCGCCTGCATCCACCAGCGCCGGTGGCGACCGCCGGCTGGCTCCCTCTTGTCGCCAGTATACGTCACGAGGAGGCCACTGGTTTGCGCCCGTCCCGTTCGGATCCTCATGCAGGCGCGTGCGTGCGCTCTCCGCTGGCCAGCGGGGTGGGCGGGCACGGCCGTCCCCCTTGCCACCACCCCTGCTGCTGCTGCTGCTGCCCCTCCAGAGGGCGCCAACTGTACACCGCCGGTCCTGGCCAGCCCGATCCCGAGCCTGGGGTCGGAGCGCACGACTCCTCGGGCAAGCCAGGCAGGCGGGTGCACCGATGTTCGGCACAGGAAGGGCCCTGGCCAGGATCGGTGCAGTGCATGTGCACAGTGGAGGAGGAGGAGGAGGAGGAGGAGGAGGAGGAGGAGGAGGAGGAGGAGGAGGAGGAGGAGGAGGAGGAGGAGGAGGAGGAGGAGGAGGGAGGAGAGGAAGGAAGAGGGGCGGAGGAGGAGGAGGAGGAGGGAGGGGAGGAGGCGGAGGCGGAGGAGGAGGAGGAGGAGGAGGAGGAGGAGGAGGAGGAGGAGGAGGAGAGGAGGAAGAGGAGGCGGAGGAGGCTGAAGAGAAGGGAGGGGGAGTAGACCTTTTGGGAGCCTCTTGGGGTCTCCTGGGAGCTTCCTGGGAGCCTCTTGGAAGCCTCTTGGTGGTCTCCTTCGGCCTCTTGGGTGCCTTTGGGGGCTTGCTCGGGGCCTCTTTGGATGTCTGAGGGAGTTCGCGGGCCGTCTGACGCAGTCGGGCCGTCTGACGCCGTCGGGAGTCATCTCAGCGGCCTCTCTGCAACGTCTTGGGGCTCTCTTCGGGCGCTTCACGGCCGTCCTGGAGGCCATCTTGGCCGTCATGGAAGCTTCTCAGGCCTTCGTCGGCTCCCCTCTGGGCCGTCTTCGGGGCGTCTTGGGCAGTCCAGGGGCCATATTGGAGGCCTCTTGGGCGCTCTGGGGGCGATCTTTGGGGCCTCTTGGGTCATCGTCTTGGGCCGTCGGGAGGCCGAAAAGAAGCAAATGCCAACATCTGGCACACACCGAAGTAACAATGATTTGGATCACTTTGGGGCTGTCTTGGGGTCCTCTTGGAGCCTATGGGGCCATCCTGGGGCCATCTTGGAGGCTGCTTGGGCCATCATTGTTCCCCCGAGTGTTGAGAAAGGTGAGAACGCAAGCATCTTCAACGCCCATCGGGAAATTAATGTTATTGGCTTCTGGAGCAGCTCTTAGGAGGCCCCCTTGGAGCGTCTTGGGGGCCTCTCGGGCCCTCTTGGGGCCATCTTGGACCGTCTTGGGGCCGTCTGGAGGCCATCTTGAGCCGTCTTCAAGCCCTCCTGGACCCCAAGCGGCCCGTAGGTTGTCATACGTTTTGAGCCCTGGAAGGGTCTTCCACCTTTGGGTTTATGGATGTGGCGTGATTCTTGTGTGTGTGTGTGCCTTTTCCCCTGGGGCACGGTCCGCTCTGGACGCCCCTGACAGTCTGGTTCTGGCTCGCGCCACCGCAGGGATGCCTTGCAGGCCATCCGCGACCTCGGCATCCACGGCGCTTGGCCGCCGCCTGTTTTCCCCAGCCTGACACTCGCTCTGTGTCCACTCCGTCCCCCTCTTCTGAGGTGGTCCCACGCTGGCCTCCCGGACTCCCTCGTAGGTCACTTGCGACCTCGGCCCCCGTGAGCTCCTCGCTCGCCTCCTT